GGCAGTGGGAAACTGCTGCGCAATGTTTACTTGCCATGTATTTACTTGCCAAAATTTACTTGCCAAAAATCGGGACTTTTTAAAAACGCCGCGGGATGTGAGACAAATTATTAAAAAGTGTGACTGTCCCGCCAAAAGCGGGACGTCTGGTCACCTTATCCTATTACTTTTTCCTCACAAGTAATCTTTGGGTTAGTTGCTTCCCTAAATGGGACAATTTGTTCCTTATTACCCTTTTGTCTTCTTAAGATGGCTCATGAGTAGCCACTCTCTTCCTTTACATTTTTGCCTTTTTCCTCTCTTATTCTTGAGTAAACTTTCTGCCTCATGGGTCAAAGTTGACTCAGCCTTCCATCCTTCCAAGGTCAGTAAAATGAGGACCCAGATTGTTGCTGGGGGGCAATATGCTGACTCTGTAAACTGCTTAGAGAGGCCTGTAAAGCACTATGAAGTGGTATATAAGTCTGTTATTGCTATTGTAAATCTGTGTTTTCATTTGTATCTCCTTTGATTACCTAAGTTATGCAGTTATTTATCTTTTTCCTGGCACTAATAAGCCTGCTAGTAATGAGTCTCCCCACGACCTCACACTTTTATATATATTTTTTATAAATTATCAATTTATTCCATTCATTACCTTCTCCCGATTACCTCTCAGACTCCCATTGATCTTCCCAAAAGCTACCCATCTCACCCTATCATCTAATTACCTCATCTATTCATCTTTAGGTCCTGTTTCCTACATCCTGCAAATTTTGAGCCCTTGTTGTCACCCTCAGTTTCTTTACCCTCAGATTATTCTCTTCCTCCTCATAACAGACATCTGTCACATGGTTGAGTACAGGCAACCCTTGACCTACGACCACAACTGATCCCAAAATTTCTGTTGCTAAGTGAGACAGTTATTGAGTTTTCACATTTTATTATCTTTCTTGCCATACTTGTAAAATGAATCGCTGCAGCTGTTAAATTAGTAACATGGATGTTAAGTGGATCTGGCTCCCCCATTGACTTTGCTTGTCAGAAGGTTGCAAAAGGGGATCAGATGAACAACCTGGACATTGCAACTGTCATAACCAGTCACCAACCATCCAAATTTTGATCATCTGCCCATGGAGATGGTGCAACGGTGAAAAAAGGTCATAAATCACTTTTTTCAGTGCTGTTGTAACTTTGAACAGTCACTAAATGAATGGTTGTAAATTGAGGACTACTTGAAACTATCTGGCAGGGCCATGGGATAACGCCATGGGACACATCTCTCTTCCTATTGAAGCATGGGAGGAGTGTATATTAGTGCAGTTGTCTGGTGGAATCCTGAAAGAAGGTCTGGAGGAGCTCTCTCTCAGATTTATTTCACTTCATTTCTAAGAACATATTAATCACTCTATAACTTATGGTTTTGTTGGGGATAATCAACTACAATAAATGGAATGTGATAGCATAAGTAGTAAAATGAAACAACAGTGGAGAGCAGCAAAAATAGTTCCTGGATTCAGTAGGTCAACAAATCTACATATTTCCTTACGTGGGAGTGCACAAGAATGTTGTAGGCTATTGTACACTCTGGGCACTGTACAAAATCGTAAAAAATTTGAACTAAAATAATCTTAAAAGAAACGCAAATGAAACAAAACATTTCAATATAAAATACACTAACCGCAGGCCTGAGACCAAAAGCAAGGGTCACTTCTGTCATTCCATCTCCTTGAACTCTTCAGAAATCAAAGGAGCATCCTGGGATTGGCACACACACAGAGGCCACATAGGAGCAATCTGTCCAAGGCCTTAGTCACATGCCTATTAGAGGCTTTAGACCCATGATGGCGAATCTATGGCACATGTGCCACAGTTGACACACAAGCCATTGGCCAGCTCAGCTGCACTGCGCATGTGCACGCGCCTCCACAGGTCAGTTGATTTTTGGGTCTCTGCTGCAAACGCAGGAGATGCACACGCATGTACAGGGGGACTGAGGGTCGCATGCACATGTGCAGGGAGTGAGGGGAGTGCAGGGAGTGCGGCATGCCTCCCTGCGGCCCATTTGTGGTCCCAGGAGCAGGGGAGTGCCGGGGGTCATGCATGCATGTGCAAGGGGTGGGGTGCATTGCATTATGGGTGTGGGCACGCGTGCAGGCGCTGTCCCAGGTGCGATTTTAGCACACAAGGAGAAAAGGCTTAGCCGTCACTGCTATAGCCAATGACTCAGCCCAACTGCCTGATAGGTCTGGTCCCATGCTGTCTCTGGAAATCAACAGGGCCCATCAGTTGCCTGGGGCAGACCAACTTAACAGGCTCTTTCATCCCACGGAGATGGATGGTCCCAGCGAATACTTTATGATGTGATAATGTATCGTTGTTGGAGTTTGTGTCTGGTTGCATTGGTGTGGGCCTTGGGAGTCCCATCTTTACTATATGTGTCTTTTCATCCCCAGATTCTGAAGTGGATAAAACAATCTGGTGGCACATGGTGACCATTGCTGTGCCCAAAGTATATAAGAATGCACAGATGAAGAAGTCATGTTTCCTTTTGCTTGCTGGTGGAAGTAATGACAATCCAGAAGAACCTGCTGAATACTCTGCTAATCAAATTAGAACTCTAGCAGTCACAACTGGATCGTATGTAAACTTTTCCTTAAGTAGGGATAATGGCAGTTCAACAACTTTTTAGGAAAAGTTCTCAATGGTTTCCATAGAATCAGCAGCCGTGGTGGCATAATAGTTAGAATACAGTACTGCAGGCTAATTCTGCTGACTGCCAACGGTTCGATCCTCAAGGTTGACCAGCCATCCATCCTTTTGAGGCCAATAAAATGAGGACCCAGATGGTTGCTGACTCTGTAAACATTTAGAGAGGCTGTGAAGCATTGTGAAGCAGTATATAAATCTGAGCAGGGGTGGGATTCAGCCGGTTTGGGCCAGTTTTGGCTAACCGGTAGCTCCAACCATCAGCTGAGAGTGAACCAGTTCGCTCTGATGATCAGCTGGGTCCAGCTGCCTGCCCCTGTGCTGTACTGACCTATATTCCCTTTTCTGAAGCCCAGTTGTTTTGCATCGGGGCTGCAGTAGAAGGTAAGTTTTCAAACACACCGCACGCACTCTCAGCGAACTAGTTGTTACACAGGTTGAATCCCACCACTGAATTTGAGTACTATTGCTATCACCAATCCTACAGGAATTAGGAACCTGAAGGCAGGAAGATGTAGAAAGTAATGACTGAATGTGTCTCAACTGTACATCTATTGTATCTCTAGTTATTTTTACATTTTCTTTGTCTCATATAAGATTAGGATTTAAAACCTAATAATATAGAGGGAGGAAAGAGGAATAGAAGTAGGATTAAATAGAGCTGTAACTCCACCTTCCTAGATTAAGAACTAATAAAGTAGAATGTTGATTGTTACTAATACTTAACTTGGACTTCTTGAATATGCTTTTCCAGAAGTTTTGATCACAGCATTTTCCCCAAGTACCTGTCCAAGTCTTTATTTCATCTGATCACCCTATTGGCCCATCATAAGTCTTTTTTGTAGAATCTCCTGTGACCATGTAAAGGAATTAAGATAGATGGCTCAGCACAAAGGCTCCAGAAGGTAGTTTGAAATATTAAGGGCAGCAAAGGAGAAAGAACATTAATCTTTTGAGGGAGGAAAAGGTCTTTGAAAGCTGGCAGAGGAAAAAGTGGAACAGCAATAACTGCAAACTTTACCAGAACAAAAAGCAAAGCAATCAGAGGGGGAAAAGACTGAAGGAGGAGTTCAGCTATTTGCATAATCATGATTTATAGTATCATCATATATTGCTCTGGAAATATAAAACATGTCTTCATTGCTGTTATATCAGTGTATTTGTGTCTGGAGATGCTTGAAGATGCTATAAATCTAAGGTGACCAGATTTTCAGATTGGTAAAGAGGGACACCTTTGACTGGGGGGGGAGGGGAGAGACTTGATTAAAAATTTTATAAGGAGCAACAAAAATTTTCATACAATGCAAAAATAGTATTGTAATATTTTTTTATTTCNAGAAGGCCCTACTCCTAGGCGCCGCCAGCTGGCATTGTCCCGCTGACGGCACCCGGAGAAGGCCCATCCTGGGCGATCTTATTGGTTTGAGGGAGGTGTGTGGCAGAAGACGGTCTCGCAGATACCCGGGTCCTAAGCCATGTTGATGTGGGTTCCTGGTGCTAGTTGGAAAAGAATCCAGGGGCCAGAACCCACTCCCACCACCACCAGCAGCAGAAATGCCCATGTGCCATCATAAGAACAGCCAGGGCAGTTTTCTGGCTTTTTAAGAGTGGGGAGCACAAATGGCTCCATTTCCCTGTCCCTAAAAAGGCCAAAATCAGACCACAGACATTTCCATCTCTGCTTCCCTGCTTGTCTTTGAGACAGAGCTCAAAATTAAGTGTTGTGCAGTCAGGAATCTTGAATTTTGGTGACACGTAGTTTGAAGCCCCCGCAAGAGCAGCAGAAGGAATGAAAAAGGTCAAACGGACAGATACAGCATCTTTTTCTCGTTTCAAAAGTTTTATTTCTTTTAAGGCAAACGTTTCACCATTCCTCAATCAGTAAGACAGCGAAGTACAATTTCTTGTACGTCAAAATAATTCTAGTTTACCACCAAATTCTTGCCTAGCCTAATATATACCCCTCCCTCCCTCTTTGATGCCGCTCCTAAACAGAGCAATCAGGGCTGGGAGGACTTTTAAGAAACGGGGGGCAACCCATGAGGAAGAGTGCTCTCAGCGCCTGGATGGACGCCTCTCTGTAAGTGGGAGGGGGTGTCCCTTTTCCGGCCCCTTCTTCCCTCTCCCCGTCTCCTCTCCCAGACGGAGAAGACAGTTACCTGGATGTGGAAGTGCAGCTACAGCAGCAGAGGGTCCGGCCCGGGAATAGCAGCACCAGTTTCCTGGAGTGGTGGATGATCCAGCTGGCCGACTGCCAGGAGGAGTGCCACATCCTACCCATGGTCATCTTCAGCGACAAAGTCAGCCCCCCCAGCCTGGGCTTCCTGGCGGGATATGGGTGAGTGAGCAACGCACCAGCCCATGGGGCGGGGGGGGGGGATGCCAAATGCGTTCAGGACAGGGAGAGAGAGGCGTACTCGAACGTCACAAGGGTAGGCTGTGTTGGATGCAAGGGAGCAGCAGGAAAGCTGGGCCTGAGATCCCCCCCCCCAATTGAATGGGGGTCCCCACCTGGCTTTGCTGCAGCTGGCTCACTTTGATCCCCCCCACTCACCCATGACAGCACTCAGAAGATGGTTAAATGCTACCCCCTTGTGTCTGAAATGCCACCAGGATTTCTTTGCTCGCAGATGTGAATCGCTTCCAAAAATTTAGCCACCTAAAAGGGGGAGGGTCCCCAGTGTCCCTCCCACCCCACATGCCAAGCTTCTCTAAGGGGAGGGTTCGAAATGATCCAACCCTCCACGCACAGATCAGAGAGGCAACGGTTGGTCATTCGGTCCCTTTCCAAGGCTTCCTCTAGGATCAGCCAAGGGGCTGAGCCTTGGGATCAGGGCCTGCAGATCCTGCCCAGCCCACCTGCTGGCGCTTCGTAGGTCGTGCGAATGGTGTTGGTGGGAGGGCTGCGTGTCAGGGGGTGGTGGTGGTGAGCTGCTCAGGGGCGCTACACAGGGTCTCTCTCTCTCTCTCTCTGCTCAGGATCATGGGCCTCTACGTCTCCATCGTGCTGGTGATCGGGAAGTTCGTGCGAGGCTTCTTCAGCGAGATCTCCCACTCCATCATGTTTGAGGAGCTGCCCTGCGTGGACCGGATCCTGACCCTCTGCAGCCACATCTTCCTGGTTCGGGAGACGGGAGAGCTGGAGCTGGAGGAGGAGCTGTACGCCAAGCTCATCTTCCTCTACCGCTCGCCAGAGACCATGATCAAGTGGACGCGGGAGAAGGACTGAGGAGGGAGCCCCCTTCACCCCCATAAACAGCCCTGGGAGACAGAGCCCAGCCGCTGGAACCGGGCTGTCGAGCCAGCCAGACTCCAGTCCTGGACACCAACTCCTCCTACCCCGCCTCTTCTGCTGGAGGCTCTGGGGTGGGGCAGCCCCATAACCTGAGCCACAGTTTGAGAAACACAAAACACTTTTTGAAACACTTTTCCTTCTTTTTTTTTTTTTTTACAAAATGAAAATGAAGATATTGCCCAGTCCCAAACCTGGACTCCCGTTTCCTTCCCCCCACGGAGACCAGGAAGTGAATGGCTGTCCTGCTGCTGAAATGTCCAGAGCCCCCTCCCCTGACCCTCCCTCTCGGCCCCGCTGCTGGGAACAAGGGCTGCTGGGAATCTACAAACTTATTTTTTCTACAGGAGGCCATTTTATTTATACAGATCTATACAATAAAAACAAAGCTGTGATTTTAAAAAAAAGATGGTGAGAAGTCAAGGTGGACTTTGGGGGAGAGAAATTCCTCTGGTTCAGCAGCCGAGCTCCAGAGAAGCCTGGAAGAGTTTTGGAGGAGAGCTTAAATGAAGCCTTGGGGGGCCTGGATGGGGGTGATGGCCAAGAAGGAACATGTTTTCCTTGGGACACTTCATAAAACTTCAGTGAGCAAGGCTTCTCCCTTTGCCTCTTTTAGGATTTCAATCCTGTGCACAAAAATAGAAATTCAGTTCACTTGGGCATCCAAGGAGGTGCCCAACTGGCAGATGGGGGAAACATCTGGATCCTCCTTGGCTCAGTCTGGCCGCTGCTGAATCCAAGACGATTCCTCTGCTTGAAAAAACACTTGTGGAAGCAGAGTGTCTGGCCGTTAGGCCCACGAACAGTCCTCCCGCTGTGCACCCGATGCAAATCAAGCATCGTCTTCAAGCAAGAATTCCTGGATTTCTTGCTTCATCGCAGCCCTGCAAAGAAAGTGGAAATGGGCATCACCGCAAATCTGGGTTTGCGTATCACTCTAGACTAGGGGTTTGTTCGAATAGCATGCCAATTCCTGGGGAATTCTGGGGTTGGAATCAGTGATGAAATTCAAATATTTTTAATACTGGTTCTGTGGGTGGGCGTGGCAGGGGAAGAGCCGAGGTGGCGCAGTGGTTAGGGTGCAGCACTGCAGGCCACTTCAGCTGACTGTTATCTGCAGTTCAGCGGTTCTAATCTCACCGGCTCAAGGTTGACTCAGCCTTCCATCCTTCCGAGGTGGGTGAAATGAGGACCCGGATTGTTGTT